AATATACACTTGAAAATGATAATAGTATACACCCAAGGGTGGGTGTGAGCCTCTCAAGAATGTAACTTATTTAAAGGTCTTAACAATAGCTACAGGTATGATTCTGGTAGCTTCTAAAGTTGCAGATTTAAAAGATTAAGCAACCCAGAAAAGGTAGTGCCTCCTTTACTCTAAGCCAGTGAGAGACTTGAAAACAGATTCCACGGTTGAAGGGCTCCTTTCCCTTCCCATACCCCCTGAACGTTGCCCTTTATTTCTTCTTGTCTTTACAATTATTTAATGTGTATCTGTATCTATGTGTGTGCATGCACGTATGTATGTATTCACCACAGTCCACACATGGAGGTCAAAGGACAACTTTTTGGGAGTCAGTTCTCTCCTGCCACCATGTGAGTCCCAGGGATGGAACTCGGGTCCTCAGGCTTAATGGCAAGCACCTTTACCCGATGAGTCATCTTCCCTGCCTTGCATTTTCCCTTTCTAGCCTCTCTCAATATGAACCAGGTGCTTCATATAGGTCCTCATCTAATCTTCATACTGGGCTAATGAAGTATTAGGATTCCGGTTTTTTTTCATTTATTTTTATTTTTTATTTTAGGTGTAGTGTTTTGTCTACAGGTATGTAAGCACACCATGCGTGCAATGCTAGAGGCCAGAAGAGGGCTTTGGATCCCCTGGAACTGGAGGTAGGATGGTTGTTAACCACCATGTGGGTGCTGCAAACTGAACTGGGTCCTCTGGAAGATCAGCCAGTGCTCTTAACCCCTGAACCTTCTCTCTAACCCCTATGATTCCAATTTTTCAGAACAAAAGACTAAGGAGGTTCCTAGGGGTTTCCAGTTTTAAAACCCAAACAAGGCAGTCATGGTGGCACATGCTTACATCCTAGTGCTATATGCTGAGTTCAAGGCCTGCCTTGGATACTGTATTAACTACATTTTTGTTGCAGTGATAAAAACATGGTGACCAAGAGCCAGGTGTGGTGGCACACACCTTTGATTCCAGCACTTCAGAGGCAGAGGCAGGAGGATCTCTCTGAGTTCCAGGCCAGCCTGGTCTACATAGTGAGTTTCAGGCCAGCTGGGGCTACAGGGAGATCCTGTCTCAAAAAGACCAAAAAAAAAACCATGGTGATCAAGGGAACTTATAAAAGGAAGAGTTTTTTAGCTTACAGTTCCAAAGGGGCAAGAGTCCATCATGGTGGGGAGGCATGGTGGCAGAGGTGGCTGGAGTAGGAGCAGAAGCTAAGCCCTCACATCTTCAAGCAGGCACAGGAAGGAGAGCAGGACTGGAAATCCCGCAAGCTTCAAGAATTCTCTAAGCCTGCCCCCAGTGACATGCTTCCTCCAGCAAGGCTGCACCTTCTAAAACCTCCCAAAACACCACCACCAAGTGAGGACAAAATGTTCAAATACTTAAAGCCTATGATGGACATTCTCATTCAAACCACTAGAGACACACAGTGAGATCCTGACTCAAGAAAGCAAAACTGGGGCTGGAGAGATGGCTCAGTGGTTAAGAACCCTAGCTGCTCTTGCAGAAGACCCAGGTTCGATTTGTACACCCACAGGGCGGTTAACAACCCCACGTAATTCCAGGAGAGCCAATGCCCTCTTCTGACCTCCATGGGCACTGCATGACACAGGTGCACTTATAATCAGGCAATACACTCATACCCATAAAGTAAAAATAATAAATAACCAAACAAAAAGAAGCCCCAACAACAAAATGAAGCCAAGCATGATAGAGCATACCTGGAATTCAAGCAGTCGGGAGGTAGAGGCAAGAAAATGCCAAGTTTCAGGTCAGTATGGACTACAGAGCAAGGCCCTGTCTCAAAAAACATACTAAAGGGCAAGCCTTTAATCCCAGCATTCAGGAGGCAGAGGCAGGCAGATTTCTGTGAGATTAAGGCCAGCCTGGTCTGGTCTACATAACGAGTTCCAGGCCAGCTGGGGCTGCAGAAGAGTCTCTCTCTCTCTCTCTTTCTCTCTCTCAAAAAAAAAAAAAAACCATACTAAGCCAAAACCAAACAAAATAAAATGAACGAACAGTCTCTGACAAAACTGAACTCATCACCCTACTAGGGACACACAGCCCATGTATCTTAGTTTGCTTTCTATTGCTATAACAAAATTTTCCAAGGTTGACTAATTTATAGAGCATAGAGGTTTACTTGGCTAACTGTTCTAAAGGGTGGCAAGACCATGAGCCACCATCTGCAGCATCCGATGGGGGTTCTGTCAATGAATGATGAAGGGCACCACGTGGATGCTTGTTTTTATAATAAAGCCACTCCTATTAATTCATGAATGAGAATAACCCAATAATCCATGAATGAACTATCCCTTACAAACCAATGGATTAGCCTAATTGATCTATAAAAGGATTAACCAAATGGATTAACCCAGTCATGAAGCCCTCAGGCCCCAATCACTTTTCAAAAGTCCCATCCCTAAGCATCATTAACATGAGTTTAGGAATTCAATTTCCAACCGATGAACCTGGGAGCTGAATTCAAACCACAGCACAGCCCTTAACCTTTCATGAATTCCCATTTGAACCCAGGTTAGTTGGGCTTCAAAGCCTAAGCAACTCTTCCTACAACTCTTGTTTATTCCATGGTAAATTTGCAAACTTCAAAAGCCTCATTATTTTCTGTTCCCACAGGCTTCTGTGCCTAACCTAGATTTGCTTGTAAAAGTTCAGCTTCTATTGATCTATCTTTTCTGCCTTGTATACACTCTCTCTTCTTTCAGCTCCTGCTAGAGATGAAACCCAAGGCATCACGCATGCTAGAAAAGCACTCTATCACTGTAGAAAATCTTTCTATCACTGTAGAAAATCTTTCTCTTTTATTCCCACTGTTGTTTTGTTTTCCTAAGACAGGATTTCACTATGTAACTCACCTAGACCTCATTAGCAGGCCTCAAACTTAGAGAGATCCACCTGCCTCTGCCTCTGCTGGAATAAGGTGTGAGCACCCATGCCTGGGCCCTAAATCTCCCTTAACTTCCTAGTAAAGTGCACCCAAATGACAATACTAGCAGCTTGAACAGGGTGATGGAATATTAAAGTGTATGAAGCTGGAGCAATGGCTCAGGCAGTAAACCACTTGCTATGCAAGCATGAGGTAGATATCTAAATTCAGATCCTCAGCACTGTACCTATAATGCAGTTTCCCTGTAATCCCATAGCTGGGGGGGGGGGGGGGGGGATCCTTGGGGCTTGCTAGCTAGCCAGTATCAATCAGTGAGGTCCAGATTCAGCAAGAGACCCAGCCTCAAAAAGGTGAAGTGAAGCCTGGCGGTTTTAATCCCAGCACTTGGGAGACAGAAGACAGGATCTCTGTGAGTCCTGCCAGGTCTACAAAGTGAGACCCTGTCACAAAAAAAAAAAAAAAAAAAAAAAAGCAGGTATGGTGGCACCAGCCTTCTGTCCCAGCACTAGGGAGGCAGAGGCAAGCAGATCTCCAGGCCAGGCTAGGCCAGGCCAGTCTAGTCTACAAAGTGAGTTCCAGACCAGCTGGGACTACAGGGGCCTCTGTCTCAAAAAAAAAAAGAAAAACCAAACCAAGACAAAAAAACAAAGGTAGAATGGAGAAAGAAAATATCTAATGTCAACCTCTGGATTCCACAGATGTAAACCCTCATACACACAACACACACAATAAATGAAAACTAGAATGTAAAATTAAAAGGCAAAAGGGTCTAGAAAAGAACTGATTTCTGATTTAACTCAGACTATTTCTCCTTTACCATTATTAGCAGTAAAAGCTCTTTGAGGACAGGGAGGGGTAACGATCAAGAAAATGAAATGCGCTATGCCTTTAGTCCTAAAGCACTTTAGCACTTTAGGCACTAAAGGCACATGCCTTTAGGCACTTTAGCACAAGCCTTTAGCACTAAAGGCAGAGGCAGGTGGATCTCTGTGAGATTAAGGCCAGCCTGATCTACAAAGCAAGTGCCAGGCCAGCTGGCTATAAGGAGATTCTGTCTCAAAAAGACAAAAAAAGAAAAAAATGTTTAAAAAAGGAAATGAAATGCAAATTGCTCATGCCTCAAGGGTGTAAGGGTGGGGATTAAGCAAAGCAAGCCTGTTCTAGCCAACCTCATGATAAAGAGGAGGGCCTCCAATTTAAAGCAAAAAGTAAAAGCAGAAGATTAAGGGAGTCTGAGTAGTTCCAAGGTTTCACATGACTTCAAGAGTATTAAGTAAACTTCAGTGGTTTTGTAATAAAGTATCAAGGTTTCCATCACCAGGAGGCCTGTGCCTGGTCAAGGATCCTATTCTGTAGTAGCCCTAGTGCTGGCTGCATGGGCCTGGCCCCTTACTACCACTATTACAGTGCCAGAAGTCTCAGAAGCTCTGAATACGAGTTAAAAGGAAGAAAAAACTGGGATAAGGTCTACACCAAACATACAGTTCTGACAACTCATTTAGGAACCATCACATTTAAAATGCTTCCATGGGAAAAGAGCTTCTTCTAAACAAAGTCAGTACTGCCTCATAGGCAACAGGCTTCCTGCATGCTCAAACGAATTCTTAGAGAAGCTAAATGAAATAGCAGGGCTTAGTCGTGCTTGGCTCTAAAACAGCACTCAGGAGATGGAGGCAGGCAGATCTCTCTGAGTTTGAGGCCAGCTTGGGTCTACATGGCGAGCTCATGGTCATTCCAGACACCCAGCACATAACTAACATACAAGCAAAGAAAGAGGGTGAACGTCCACTACACCCTGATACTAAAAAGTGTGGTCCACAGGCTCGGTGCATGCGCATCTTCTCTAGGAGCGTACCAATCAAATCTGCATGTTTGAAAAACAAGAAACCCCCAGGTACACTTTATGCACGTTGTAGCTGGGCAGAGTTGGGGTACACTGCCTCCGAACTTTGTTGCATGCAAACCCACTTTCCACACACTACTGCATCGGGCCAGGTGGGAAGCGGGCACCTGCCATACCCGGGCGTCAGTCCTCGGAGACAGTCCCCTCTCCGCTCACCTTGATGCGCTCGCCATCGATGTCCACAGCTCGCTCTCGGAAATCCACGCCGATCGTGGCCTCGGTGCGGTCGGGGAAGCGGCCGGCGCAGAAGCGGTAAGTCAGGCACGTCTTGCCCACGTTTGAGTCGCCGATCACGATGATCTTGAAGATGCGGGAGCGGGCGGGAGGCAGACACCCGGCGGCTCCCGACACCGCACAGCTGGACGACAAGCTGACCTCGAGCGACGACTCCATCTCCGAAGCCATTCTCCCTACCCGCCCCAATCTGAGGACTAGAGAAGCCGGGGAGGGGGGATGACGCCACCGCAGCGGACAGGCTCCGGCTCCGCTGCGCAACCTCCCTCCTCCCGGAGGCCCCACAGCGCGCGTGCGCGAGCTCCGCCGGCCCCAGCCCTCACAGGTGTGGCGCCCTGTGCCGCCCGCCTCCGCCCGGCGCGCAAGCACTGCGGCTCCTCCCACCGCAGCCCGCGCCGGCGCGGTGTACCTGGAAAGACGCGCCGCCGGACCCGGCTGCAGTGCAGCCCAGAAGGTCGGCCCGAGGCTGCAGGCAGCGCGGAGGTCTTCGACCCGGCCCGGCCACGTCCAAGGGTGCCGCCCTCCTGAGGAAGATGCGCAGCTTCTCAGGGGCGGGGAGAGAAAGCCAGCTGGAGGAAGGAGGTGCCGCCCTGTTGCGGTCTCGCGAGAGCAGCAGTGAGAGCCCGGGGACTGCAGGGTCCTGGCTCGCTGGCTGGCGGGTGAGGGCCGGGCTTTGCCAGATTAATGGTGGGAAGCCAGATTAATGGTGGGAAGCCACTCGGCGCCGCGGCCCCAGACTTTCTCCCTAGGCGGTGTGAGGTTATCCTTGAATCGTGGCACCCAAGGCTCGGTTGCTTAAATATGTTGTTCAAAAGCTAGAGCAGATCCTTTGGGAGACTGTAGGACATCCAGGCCCTTCATTCAGTTGGGCCTTGCGGTGCACACCTGGGACGTGTAAGAACCTGTCTCAAAAAAGTAAACCTGGAGGCTGGAGAGATGGCTCAGCTGTTAAAGAACACTGTTCTTGCAGAGGACCTGGGTTCGAATCCCAGCACCCACATGGCAGCTATGCGAAACTCCTGATCGAAGGAATCAGAGGCTGTCTTCTGGCCACTGTGGCCATTCCACGGCACCGAACACGGGTGCATTTACACATATATGGAGGCAAAACACTCGTACACATGAAGTTAAAATTGGGGCTGAAGAGAGGGTTCAGCAGTTGAACGCTGGCTGTTCTTACAGAGGACCCGTATTCGAATCCCAGTACCCACATGGCGGCTAACAACTGTAACTACAGTTCCAGGGGATCCAACACCCTCTCCTGTCCAGGGACACTTACAACACGGTTGTACTTACATACATGCCGGCAATACTCTCATACACATAAGTATTTTTTATTTTGAGTCAGGGTCTCACAAAGCTCCCCAGACTGGATTTGAACTCACTATCCCAGGAAGATTTTAAACTTGCCATGCTCAACCTCAGCCTCAGTAGCTACAGGCTTCCACTACCATACCTGGCTTTATCAGTACAACTTAACTAGAGCACCATAAATTATTTAGGGTGTTGTAATGGTTAACCTCAATAGTCAACTTATTGAGATCTAGAATCACCTGGAAGATGAGCCTCTTGGCATGCAACTGTAGGTTTATCTTGTTTTGGTTACTTGAGGTGGGAAGATTTGCCCACCATGGCTGGAATTGATAAAAAGGATTCATCATTCCTTGCTTCCTGCCTGGACACAATGTGACTAGCTCTTTCAAGCACCTGCTGCCATGGCCTTCCTCTCATGATTAATTGTAGCTTGAACTGCAAACCAAATTAGAACCTTCTTCCTTACATTGCTTTTTTCAGAGTATTATATCATAGCAACAAAAAGGTACGGTAAGTAGATCAAAGCACTTCTAATAGAAGAATATTGTACATTAATAAGGATAACCTTTTTTTTTTGAGACATAAGCAAAAAAAAAAAAAAAAGCCCCATCTGGCCTGGAACTCCTTGCATAGACCAGGCTGGCCTCAATCTCATAGAGATCCATGTATCTCTGCCTCCAGAATGTTGGGATTAAAGGTATGCACCACTGGCAGAATAATCCAATTTCGACTATGGGACTATACAAGTTCAGTTTTTCTTTCCTAGAAATGCCACATCCCCGAGGTAAAAATAGTTTAAAAGTAGCTTCTGCCTCAGGGATGTGGCATTTCTTGTCCTGGGGCCTGCTATGAGATGAATAGTCTCTACTGCATGCATTACCCTGATTTCTTTTGCCTTATTGTAGCACCAGAAACATGGAATCAGGTGACTGTGGACTGAACCCTCTGAAACAGTGAACCAAAGTAAACCCTCCCTTGTTGATGCTAGCACAATGATGAAAAAACTAACAGAAAATTGGTACCAGGAGTAGGGTTGTTGCTGTGACTAAACCTTGTCATGTGGTTTTAAGCTTTTGGACCCATTTTTCTGGAAGAATTTGGAAACATTTGGAAATACCTTGGTCTGATTCTTCCACTATTCTCCCATTACTCCTTTTTGAAATGAGAAGATTTTTACCTTGTGCTATTGTTCTGGAAAGTATGTAATTTCTTTTTAATTTTAAAGAGATTCACAGCTAAGAGTTTGTCTTGAGTCTCAACTGGACTTGGACTTTTGAACAATGTTGGAACTGTTAAGATTTGAGGCAATCTTGGAGATAAATTAAGTGCATTTTGTATTATGACAGTGTCGTGTGTTTGAGGAAAAGGGGGAGAATGTTATGGTTTGAATATCAAATGTCCCCTCAGACTCCTGTTGAATGCTTGACCCTATCTGGTTGGTGCTACTTTGAGAGATTCTGGAAACTTTAGGATATGTGGCCCAGCTGGAAGAGGTAGGTGGTGTGTCCACAGGGCCTGTGTCTTGTCCTAGGCCTGTCTTTGTGTTTTTGTTCTGCTTCCTGTCTGTCATGAGACTGAGATCCTAACCCACCACATGCTCCTGCAGCCACAGTGTTCTGCTGTACCATAGGCCCAGAATTAGCAGAGATAAAGGACTGTGAGCTGAAACCCTGAAGCCATAAGCTAAAATAAGGCCTTTTAAAACTCATTTATGAGGGCACGCCTTTAATCCCAGCACTCGGGGGACAGAGGCAGGCGGATCTCTGTTAGTTCAAGGCCAGCCTGGTCTACATAATGAGTTCCAGGACAGCTGGGGCTACAGGAAGACCCTGTCTCAAAAAGACAAAAAAAAACACCTCCTTTATGGAGCCGGACGTGGTGGTGCACACCTTTGGTCCCAGCACTCAGGAGGCAGAGGCAGGCCTTCAACTTCCAGGGAGAAATACTTGCACCATAAACTGCAGCTCTTTCAGTTAGTGTCAGCTCTAAGTCTAGTAGCATCTGTTTCCTACCACTCAGCCTCTTGGGAGGCAGTGTACACAGCTTGTAGGATCCAGGGTGGGCTAGAAAGAGCTGCCTCTCAATATTGGGGAAATCAGTCTTCTGATTGCTAATTGCTGCTTGTGACCACAGACATACAAATAGGGGATAGCCGTTGTTGCTACACTTCATATTGTTGCTGCAAGCCCTCGCCCTCTGGCTGAAGTGACTACTTTTTTTAAAATAGTGTAATTTTTTATGTGTAGGAGTGTATTGCCTACATATATGTAAGGGAACCCGTGTCATGCAGTGCCCATAGAGGTCAGAAGAGAGCATTTAGCTCCCCTGTGACTGGAATTACAGTTAGTTAGCTGCCATGTGGGTGCTGGGAATCGAATCTGGGTCCTCTGGAAGAACAGCCAGTGCTCTTAACCACTGAGCCATCTCTCCAGCTCCCTCCCTTCATTTTTTATTCTTTCTCTTCCAGAAGTCATATGTAAAAGTCTAAGACAAAACATTAAAAAGCAGACTGGAGAGATGTCTCTCAGTGGTTAAGAACACTATTCTTACAAAGACCTGGTTTTGGTTCCCAGAATCCACATGGCAGGTGTCCTTGACTCTACTTCCAAATGATCCAACGCCCTCTTCTGGGCACAGGAATTACATGTACTTGGTGCACTTACATACATGCAAAGACACTCATATACATAAAATAAAAATAATTTTTAAAAAAACATTGAAAAGAGCTGGGTGTGTTGGTACACACCTTTAATCCTAGCACTCAGGAGGCAGTGGTTTATATCAAAATTTTTTCCATTTTGGGGGGCTGGAGAGATGGCTCAGTGATTAAGAGCACTGACTACTCTTGCAGAGGACCCAGGTTTGATTCCCAGCACCCACATGGCTACAAACCATCCTTAACTCCAGTTCCAGGGGAATCTGACGCCCTCTTCTGACCTCCTTGGCATTGCACGACATGGGTGCACTCACATACATGCAGGCAATACACTCATACACATAAAAATAATAAAAATATTTTTTTAAAAAGTTTTTTCTTTTCATTTATTATTTCCCAATTATTTCTATTTTTTATTTTTTTGGTCTTATTGAGACAGGGTCTCCCTTTTGTCCCAGCTGGCCTGAAACTCGCTATGTAGACCAGGCTGGCCTCAAACACACAGAGATCCACCTGCCTCTGCCTCGTGAGTGCTGGGACTAAAGGTGTGCACCACCATGCCTGGCTCTAATTATTTCTTTATGTGTATGGGTGTTTTGCCTGCATACAAGCTCACAGAGTCCAGAAGAGAGTGTCAGAGCCTCTAGGATTGGAGTTACACTGAGCCATTTCTCCAGTCTCAAAAGGTTTTTCTTTTTTAAAAAAAATATTTTTTTTAATTTTTGCGGGGGCGGGGGGCAGGTCTTTTTGAGACAGGGTCTCCCTGTAGCCCTAGCTGGCCTGGATTCGCTATGGAGACCAGGCTGGCCTCAAACTCACAGAGATCTGCCTGCCTCTGCCTCCCGAAGGCGTGCGCCACTAAGGCCAGCTAATTTATTTTTATTTTATGTATACGAGTGTTATGCCTGCATGGCCTGCACGTAAGTGCACTCGTGTCATGCAATACTCTTGGAGGACAGAAGAGGGCACCGGATCCCCTGGAACTGGAGTTACAGATGGTTGTTAGCCACCATGTGGGTGCTAGGATTTGAACCCGGGTCTTCTGAAAGAACAACCAGTGATCTTAGCCACTGAGCCAGCTCCCAGTCCCCACAAAAACTTTTTTTCTAAAAAAAGAAAAGATAGAGCCAGGCATGGTGGCACATGTCTTTGGGCAGGTGGATCTCTGTGAGTTTGAGACCAGCCTGGTCTACATAGAGAGTATAGTGAGGGGCTGGAGAGAGGCTCAGTGGTAGTTAAGAGCACTATAGTTGCTCTTGCAGAAGACTAGGTTCAGTTCCCAGCACCTTCATGGTCTTACTGAGACAGGGTCTCCCTGTAGCCCCAGCTGGCCACGTAGACCAAGCTGGCTTCGAACTCTCAAAGATCCGCTTGCCTCTGCCTCCCAAGTGCTGAGACTAAAGGCATGGGCCACCACACTCAGCTTATAAATTGTTTTACAAAAGAAAAGAAAAATATTGATACATTTTGTCAGTGAGGTGAGGTGGGGCACACCTGTAATTCCAGGTACTCAACGGGCTGAGGCAGAAGGATCCAAGGCCAACCTGCCCAATTTAGCAAGATGGTGTCTC